CCTTTTTTCTCGACGCTGAAGTATCAGGACTCAGATGAGGGATTTTCTTGTTCTCTCTTAAGTCTGCCAACCACTTCCATGTGATAGCAGGCAAAAGGAGAACCTGCTGTAGCCCTTTACATGGTGGGGGTGGGGGGGGTGGCTCATAGTGCAGGACAGAAAGGAAGACTAAAAAGGGCCCCAAATATTCAGGTAAGTTATTTTGGTCAAAGGGCTTAAGACTATGGGGGTGTGATACAGCTGACAGCATGAGGAAGGCAGTAGGGACAAGAGCAAAGTGGAGCAGATTGCCCTGTTCTCCCTGGCTGGCGTTCCTCGGCTTTGTGTATCTATCACATCTTATACTTTCTGTCTTCTGTGGTGTTTTCCAAACAATCTTGTCCTTTGCCTCCAAGATTAGCAGTTCTTCTTGGTTCACCTCAGTAACTTTCTTTGTTCCAGCAGTTCTGGCTTGATTCCCCCAATCCCTCTAATGACTGTATTTGAGTAAGGTGGGGATTTCCCCCACCTACAGGTACCCCCAGTGCCTAGGGAACCTTGTGTGGAAAATGGCAACTTGCTATCATTGGGAGATACTCTGTTTGGAGCTCCCAGTTAACTTTTCAGTTGCTCCTTCCATTTCTCTTCTCTGCCGTTCCTAGGGTTCCCATCTTCTCTATATATACTGGATACAAGGCAGAAATTTAGTGACTACCTCTAAGTTAGTATTTTCCCACATATATCTGCTTCAGAATTAGCTTAACTTAAATGGATTGCCTTTTAGTATATTAATATGCTGGAGTTCTTCCTTAGATTTATTGGACAAGAGGATGCACAATCACATCTTACCTTACCGTAATGTTAAGAAAACCCCTTCTTTTTTGGTTCCTCAGTTATGTAGTGACTCTGTCAAAATCATAATGCTGTAGCAGCCAAGTAAGTATGCTAAAATGCGCAAATGGTGCGTGCCAATTCATACTGCAATTTAAACCTGACTTATTTAAGGTTAAAGGTGATTCCTTAAGGATCTTTGAAATTAAAACCAAATAAACTACTCAAAATTAAAAGAATGATCACAGCTGAGTATACACGGTCATCTTGAAATGTACATTAACAATTGATTTAAAATAAATGGTTGCAATTTTCTTTTTTAGTCAAAGAGCTCAAATCAGTGTCTTAATTAGGTCTTTTTTTGAGTGGTTGTCAGTCTGTAGGTTCATGTTGTCTTTGTGTGTAAATGCAGTCACTTGAACCACAGACTTTTGATCTCTAGCAGCGCCTATAAATTATGTGTGCTTGTCCCCTCAGTCATCTTGCGTACTTTGCCGATACAGTATGCAGAATATGCCTAAAATCTTAATTCTTCTCAGTGGTTGGCCTGAATCTGAGCCTCCTTTTAACTTGCAGTGATCTAAGCTGCATTTCTTAGCATGTGCTTTTTCTAACTTTTATTGTAGAAGGTATTGACCTTCTCAGTACTAAACATATAAACAAGATGGAATTTAGAGCTCATGATTTGGGGAAAAATCTCCTTTTCACGGTCTGCTTGCCTTTGATACACTATTGACGTGTATGTTCTGGTCCTTGTCTGTGGTCCAGGCTTGCTTTTGATAACCCCCTTGTGACACCACCCTCTTTGTCTTAGATTTGTTGTGAGGCTAGACTGAATCTATTTGTCTCTAGCGGGAGAAGTACTTACCAACGGCAGGAGGGAGTCTAACGGGTTCACTTACACTGATTTTTCCCTATGGGATGCATCTAGATTCCTAACTCCCATGGAAAATTTTTGGAGCTGAAAAATAGGGCTTGTCTGTTTACTCAGTGAAAATTTGCCTGGCAGGAGTTTGAGTTCTGAGCACAAAAAGAGAAGATAAATTCTTTCTTACCCCATGTACCTGTTGGCAGAAATAGGAGAACCTGCTTCCTCAGTAACATCATAATGTGGCTTTGATATTTTTCATTAAAAAATCCATTGAAGAGCATGGCTAACATGCTGCTTCCCACATCTTTTAATTATGGTTGTTTATGTCTACGTGGAAGGCTGGAGAATTTGTGGGCCCTAATGGCAGACCTCAAACTTATATTTTCTAAAGTCATTCTAAATTCATTCCTAAGCTTATTTCCGAGTTCCGTCTAAGAGGTGAGATCTGCCTGATGCTTTTTTTTTTTTTTTCCCCCCCTCTTATGTCTTTTGGTACTAAAGAATGTTTTCACATGGCTACCAGTCACACATACTCTTACCTCTTTACTTGGGTGAGGTGAATCACTCAAAAGGATGCCTTGCAATGGCTCTGTCAGAAAGATACTGAAGTATAACTATTTCAGATAGTTATGAGGCTGCCCCAAGGGGTTGCACATCTGAACACACTCCACTGGATTATGGTGATGTTTGTAGCACATCTGTGTTCCAGTCCTGAGATCTTCAAAATGATTACCTGTGATTCCAGCTGTATCCGGGAGTGGGTAGGGAGACTGGTGCAGCTTTTGACAGGGCAGTCTCCTGCCCAGTGTTATTCTGGGGGCTCCAACATCCTCCTCTAGACAACTGTGTGGCTTGGAGAGCTGGAGTGGATCTACAAGTCACTTACGTATGCATACGCGCGCTCAGTCAAACTGGAGTTCTCTGAGGTGTGATGTCCATGTGCACACGTACAATCTACCCACCCTCCTCTCTAGCTCTGTCCTCCATCAAGGACATTTTTGGATTTTGAAGGTTAGAGGAAAGGAGGGACAAGGCAGGCTGCGCCCATTAATGCCAGATGTAGTCAGTCATGTGCAAGCAGAAGTCTGCACTCTGCAAATAGTAATTAGAGGTAAAGAGCCCATAACACGTGTGCCCGCACAGTAGGAAGATGCTGATGGCCAGCACCTCTCAAAAGATACTCAGTTCTTTGCAAGTAACTTCTCTCCATGCTGAAGCAGCTAATGAACGGCTAAGTCAGGGTTTTGCTACCCCCCTGGAGTGGGTGGGGGGAGAGGGGGGGCTGGTTCTGTTAACTCAGTAAGTTGACGTGATCTGACTGCTGGTCAGAGCTGGAGATGCAAGGTATCAGTCCCGCAAGGTCTTGGGATGATACGGCAGTGGTTAACTTTACTTTCCTGAAGGTAGTTTTCCTATGCTGTGCTTGTATTAAGTAGAAAGTTCCTATGCGGCTTCTAAAATTAGGTGCCTGCTCTGAATTGTCCTTGAGAGTAGTCTGTGCTTAGGGGATGAATTACTCTCTTAGCTAAGTTTGTCTAAGAATTTCCTCCTCAGGAAATTAGAAATGTGTCATTACATTGCTTTTTGAGGACAGCAATTAAGTTCTTCAGTCACTTTGATACTTGTTAACGTTTTCCCTGTGCCTTATTGTTCAGATATCCCCATCATTCTTTTGTAGGACCGAAGTACAGTTAAAGAAGAGCTGATAAGAAAGCGCTCGGGAAGATGGAGCACAAAGCTCAGCAGATCTAGTTATGTAGAGAGGTGCTGGTATGTCCCTGGCCAGTCCTAGGTAGGTGGATTTAGAGTTAAAGGTACCTGTAGAATGTCATTGTCTTCAATTATTGTTCATACAAAACAGCACTAGGATAGTGATATTTAAATTCATATTCACATATATGATGTTACCTAAGTATGCAGAATCAAATACAGAGGCACAGCTGTTATACCTGTTGTTCAAAACTTCCATAATCTGCTTTTTGACAATGCTAAAGAATAGAAAGGAGCATTAACTTGAAAGTTGTATTTACAACATGATAACCATTTTAATGTGTTTAAATATATAGAATACTTTATTTTATAATGACTGTAATGGTGGCTTAATGTAATTGGAATGGCTGTCTTTTAAAAAAGGATTTCTCACAAAAGGAATATAAAAATATAAAATTCATGTTAAAAAATAAAAAATGACATCACCTTATAAATTAAAAAAACACAAAGGTTTTTGTAGTATCTAACTGTGTTTTTAGTGTATCAGTTAAATAGGAATTGTGGTGAGGTAATACCAGTGAAATTGTATCTTTTCTGTAATCTTACATTAAACTTTTAGTACAGTTTTTGTACTATTCTGTCTAAGGACTTATTCCTTAAGAAAAAAACCATGAAGTTTTAGCTTAATGGCGACAGTTCCCTTATGGGACAAATTTGAAAAGTATTGCCTTTGAGGGGAAGAAAACTAGAGTGTTTATTAAACTCTAAAATAGATATTGACTCTAAGTTGTGATTTTTCTATTAAATTCAAGTTGTTTTCTGGGCAACTGAAATGAATTATTATTTACATGGCTTACTGCAATAGCTTTTGGTTTGTTTTTGATTTTGTTTGCGTTTTGAATAATGATGTGCAGATGACGTTTTAATAAGGGTCTCTTGCAAATGTTTTTTTTTTCCTTAGCTTATTCCTCACTTGGGATAAAAATGCTCTTATTTTGCAGGAGAGAGGTACCTAATTAAAACGTGTTGCTAGCATTATATGGCGTCCATTTACTTATGGGGAGAACTGAAAAACTGAGTGATCAGACTGCGAACAAAAATGTGAGAGTGAGATGAGGTAAAATGACCAAGAGGTGACACTGTTATGTATCATTATACTCTCAGTCTTACACTTTTCTTTGTATTTCTGCTTTTGTAGCAAGCTCCGGTCTCTGGGTGGGAACCATCTTTGGGGGTAGGGGCAGGAGGGCATCCACTCCATTTTGGCAAATACCAGAAAAACTACCTTAATTAAGATTGTATGCACCAGTCCACTTCCAAATTTCAAACCTTAGCAATACCTATTATAAAACTTTCAGGCAGACAACAGCTTAGGAAAGCTAACTATGGGACAGCATAGGCTTAAGTAGATCTTGCGGAAGCTTGTATGCCTTTGAAGAATCTTTTGTAGGATCTTTGAAACAAAATTTTACTGAGGTCTTTGTGTAGAGAGGTGGGGTACATTGAAGCAGAACTAGGTCTGACAGCCAAAACACCTTTCTTATTGTGTAGTGTGATCAGGATTTCTTTGCCGTGCAGCCACTGTATAAGGAGCAGTAATTAAACTATAATACAGTGATGAGAAAGTTGGATAGCCCTGGCTTGGGAGCCATGGATTCGGAGTCATATCTTCCCCTGTTATCATCCTGGCTTTGCCCAAGATTAAGTAGCCTTTGGCAAATTTTCTCACCTTTCTTTATCTGTGAAATTAGGATAATATATCTTACTTGCCAGTGGTAAGAATTAATTAATGATTGCACGGTGTGTGTTCGAAGCAATGTACAAGTGCACAATATTAGCTATGGTGTAATTGGACTACTGTAGCTGATAATATGCCAACAGACATTGGCATATAAAGTAGGATCAACTTCTTCTCAAGTGATGTAGAGTTTTTAATTGTTAGTAGTGAAGTTCTGAAGTTTAAAGTAGCTATCACTGAGAAGGGAATGCAGCTAGTGTTCCTCTATAGGAAAGCTTAACAAGACAACTCTGAATTTTTTTTATCTTGAACTAAAAAAATATTTACATATGTACACATACACACACTTTAAGCACAGAATAATTTAAGCTGAAAAAACTTCCTGTTTTCTGACCAGATTTGCTTAGTAGTTGTCGCTGCAATATACAGAGGTTACCCCAGAGGAGAGTGAAAAGTACTCTGTGTATCAGTGGAGATGAGGAGATAAATTTTTGTTATTGATATCTGGCTTATGCAACATTATTCAGTATGTTTTAGTTTCACGATGTCTGCCAAAAGTTCAATTCCGAGCTCTTGCTAAGTTTTGTTTTAAGGGGTTGGGAAGAAGGGGGAGACAAGCTAAAAGCAAACAAGGAGATTTCAACAAAAGGATTGCTGAGAAGGGAGCATCAATTGAGGGAAGGCAGTCGTAGCTGTTAACATTTAAAAAGCCCTTTCAAGGACTAACAAAATAAAGGGTAGAGATGTCCTTATCCTGAAATGGCTTTTATATTTCTGAACCTTTTATAAAAGCTTTTCTTAGAACGCTTCCCTTCTAAAAACAAAATAGTTTTTGTCATAAACAAGACAGGCAGCACATCAATACAAAGACGACTATCTTCACTTACTTTTATTTCTGGGCTGGCAGAACAGCCTATTTATTATTCATACCACAGGAAAAAATTGTTGCCCCAGTTTAACGACTGAAGAAAACAAAAGAAGGGAGAAATTATGTCCTTCAACCTAGCACTGTTCCGGTGTGCTGTACTGTTGTATTAGGCTTTGTCCTCCAATATGAAGTTTAAAAAAAAAACTTTTTTTTTAACATCATAAAAGGTACAGTCCTAGTGGAGACAAGACACAGGCAATTTTTATATCCAGGTAGCCAGTCAAGACCAACCATGTGTCTCTTACTTGGAGTTGATGTCAACCAGCTACATCAAAATAAGAAAATACAGCGCTTTGCTTCTACTAGGATTTTATATCATATTAGGTTGAGGAGGCCTCTTCATTTACCACTGTACATGACACGCTGCTAGAGTATTGTACTTGAGTGAAAAAACATTTTGACTGCAATGAGGATATAACTTTATGTATCTTGGTTCCCTTCCCTCCTTTTCTTTTGCGCTTGCTAACACATAAAAGCACCGATAAAGAGAAGACATTTCACAGAAAATATCTGCCAAATTCAGTTATTCTGCTGCGAGTCTGAATGATGAGACAACATCTTCAGGATTATCAAAAGGAATTGTGTTTGTTTAGAGTGGAAACTCAGTAGTTCCTTTGGTATATCTTCTGGTTCACCCATCTGTAGTAAAGCAGAATATTTGAAGGAAAGTTAGAAGCCTCGTGGAAATCTAACATTTTTATATCTCTCTCTTAGGGAGTTTAAATTAGTGAGTAATTTGAAAATGGCGTGGACAAACCACTCCTTAACATATGTCAGGGACAAATTCTGTGGTAGAAAAGGATGGACAGAATTGATATTGTTCTGTTCTGAGTCTTGTGGTGCTGTGAAAGCCAAAGTCTCTGAAGTCAGTGAAGGTTGTCTGTATACAGAATTTGTCTATTTCTCTATACAAGGAAATGTAATGGCTGTGGGAAAAACAGTGGCTCTGCATGTTCTCCTTCCTAACCCTATTTTAATAGTTGCTTCTCCCTGGAGACTTTAGAAACATTTGTGGAAGTGGTCAGGAATAAGAAATAAAGGAATAAGGAGTAAAGGAAAGGAATAAGAAATAAAACCAGATATCTTTACACTGATAATTTCCATTCAATCCAAAATGATTTGAAAAAGATTTTCAAGGTGTGAAAAAAATGGATGCGTCAAAACTCTGCACTCTGATATATATGCATAGCTCCCAAATTATATAGTCAGAGTCCTTTTTGAAAAGAAATGTTGCCTCTTCACTTTCATACTGAGTGGCACACGTTAGACTTTTCATATGCACTCAATGTGCAAATAAACTCTGAAGACTGATGAAGATTTTTCTGTTCTAACAATAATCTGCATCTCTGTGATAGAGCTACATCACAATACCGTCTGCTACCACTATATCACAACAATTTTTTCTCCTGCAAAAACATTTTTGTTAATTTGTGTCCTAATAGCATATGTTCCACATATGTGATCATTCATTACCCCTCTTATTTACAGCAGCCTGTAAGAAGATCAGTCAGGTCCATTGCAACCTATTGGTATATGTGCTGGTGCCTTATGTTACTTAAAAGGTAGACGTCTCCTTGGCAATGCTGATTTTTGCTCGTTTTAGTTACTGTAACATCTTTACTGTACAAAAGGACATACAAAAAGAAATTTGCTCTTTTACCTTGTCCGTGTACTGGGCCCCTGGATTATTAATTCGGTATCAGTCACAGGCTATTGGCTTTGAGTGACTGTAATAAATACAAAAAAAAAAAAAGGAAAATTCATTGCTCTCTTACCTATTCAAGACCAACTTCTTATTTCTTGCGTTAGGTCTTTAAAATTAATGTAGTGATGTTTGTTGAGCTATATACAATATTAATAAACCATAAACTATCTTACAATTTTGCCAAGAACCTACTGGGAACGCTGCATACACTGCAGTTGACTTTAACGTTCGGGTATTCCTTCTCTGATGGTAAACACCATTAAGTCACAGGTGCAATACTGAAGCAATTTATATGCATTTTGGCTTTGAGAATAGAAATTTGTAGCCCAAGCATCAGGATATTTTTAATTGTCTGAAAGAATAAATTTTGAATATGTTACTTAATCTAGGCATGAAAGATCACGTCCTTTTTCATACGGTGATTATTTATGATATGTATGAAAATGTAACAGTATTCCAATAGCCTGCCTAGAGGGCAGCTTTAGATTAGGACAGTGGTTGTGACATACAGGCACAATATGCCAGGAAGAAAAATATGCTGTTCTACTGACTTTATGCCATCCTCTTTGTTTTCCTGGGGGGCATACCAGGTGCCTTCTTTCTGTTTTAAATAACGCATTATTTCTGGAGCATTTAGGATCTAAAGTGGGAAGGCTTAGTATAAACGCCACATACAATGCTGTTATTTTACTAGAAGTAAATTCTGTGCAGAAGATTGTGTCCTTTACTTTGTTTAAATGCAAAGCTGAGAAGAGCAAAGGTACGGCCGTATGCTGTCCCTAAATAGTTTGGTAAGTGCGTAGAGTGCAATGCTGATAAACGTTCCTGTATCTGACATTGTCAAAATTGGTATGTATATCACACAAAATTATATCACATAGATCATGTATGTCATAGAAGAATAGAAACATGTAGGTTGGAAGGGACCTCCAGGGGTCAAGTCCTCTGTCATGCTCGATGCAGGTCCACTTGGTTCAGGTTTGTCAGGGCTGTGTCCAGTTGAGTTTTGAATGCTTCCAAGGATGGTGATGCCGCAGTGTTTCTTGACAGCCTGGCCTAGTATTTGACCGGCCTCCTGGTAAAAATGTGTTTCTTCGTATTGATCTGGAATTTCCCATATTCCAGCCTGTGTCCATTGCCTCTTGTCCTTTTACTGCACACCTCTGTGCGGAGTCTTTTTCCATCTTCTCTACACCCTCCCACTAGACAGCAATAAGATTTCCCCTTCACCTGCTCTTCTCCAGCTGTGCGAAGCCAGTTCTCTCCACTTCTCCGTGTATGTCATGTGCTCCAGCCTCCTAACCATCCTCCTGCCTCTGCCAGACTTGCTCCAGTGTTTCAGTGGCTCCCACGTAGTGAGGAGAGCAAAACTGGAGGCGCTACTCCTCATGCAGTGTCGCAAGTGCGAAATAGAGGGGGATAGTCACATCCCTTGATGTGCCGGCCGTGCTCCTGTTTATATAGCCTAGGATGCTCTCGGCCGCCTTTGCCAGGGCACGCTGCTGGCTTGCAATCAGCTTGTTGTCCACTGGGACCCCCCCCAGGGTTTTTTCTGCAAATAAGCTTTCTAGCCAGTTGGCCCCCAGCCGATACTGTTTTATGGGGTTATTCCATCTCAGATACAGGTGTCCGCATCTTAATGTATTGAAATGCAATTATAGAATTTCATATATTGAATTATTATTTTGTGCTAGTGTTAATTAATAGCTTTGAGTTTGTCATTTGGGAATAGCAATGGCAGGCCTTCTAAATAGCCTAAACAATTCAGAATTATGCATAATATGGCTCTCTTTTTTGGATAGTCAATTTAACAAAAACACCTAGAGCTGCTGATATAGCAGGTGCATCCTGGGATGAATAAATTGCATAAGTCACAGTAAATTGCCAAAAAAGGAATAGTGAATTGTTTCTTGAAAGCAGATGATTTTTTTTACGCTAATGATGCTTGATTTTTGTTGTGTAGATTTATAAATAAAGTAGGCTATGCTAATTTGGGAACAAAACCGATACTACTTTGGGATTATTCTGTTTATTGATCAACTGAATTGTTAGGTTTTTGTGCTACATTAATATTGCATGAAATAGTTTCATTACAGAGAGGGTTCAAAATGTATTTCATTCTGAGAATATTAAAAAGCTATTTAATATCATATCGTCAATATCAGTATCATCGTTTTATTCTGAATGGTTTTTATGTAATAGTTGTTCAGTTCTTATATCTCATGTCAATTTTTCTAATATAAATATTTGATTATTTTTATGAATTTTAAAATTATATGAGCAATTTGGTGGTTGACAAGTGTTTTTGGTGGGTGCGGGTTGACAGTCGTAATAAAGGGAGCTTTCTTATTTCTGTCAGCAAACCCCCTGAGAGGTAACGCGAATCTTTATTCATGCTTTTCCTCCACTGTTCATCCATTTGCCCTGTTTAAGAAACCTGGAATTTGTCAGAAGTCAGTCTATAAGGATGCATTCAACCTCTGTCCATTGTCTATTGCAATTTTTTCCAAAGGGATGTGTCTGCAGTGTTAGGGAAATTTGGCATTTTGTAAATTAAACCTTGGTGCTGAAGACTCTCAGCTAGGGGACGTTGTGCAGAAAACCAGCATTTCTGGTGCTGCCTCTGGTTTTCAGATGACCCCATTTGCTAATGAAGCATGCAGTCCTAATTTGGCATAGGTCAGAAGTAGGACGATCTTGTTGCGGGTGAAATGTCATTTGCCACATTTTGCAGAGTATTAGTCTAAACCTATATTTGGTTGGCACCTGTGCTCCAAAACTGGCACCCCACCTTGTGAGAAGGCAGAATGCCACTCTGACAGATGGGGAGGAATGCGAGCGTGCCAGCAAACCAGTGTATGCATCAAGGGGTCACATTTCTCTCCAGGAATGTTGAAATACCGGTACATGCAGAGCTTCTGTATCTGAGGCACACGTGTTTCTTGGCAACAACCAAAGTTCCTGTGGTACATAAGGAAGCTTAGTGAATTTTCATGGCTTTCATAGGGTTTCTACATCATGGGAGCCTATATATAATTTCTGCTAAGAATGGCCCTATGAATATAAAAAAAAGATGGAATACATTTTGCAAATTATTCTTTCTTATTAATAGATTAAGAACTGTTAAAATGCCATCATAGCTTTCATGGATGATAATTCTTTTGATTACTTAATGGTTGGTTTATCCTGGTCTGAGAGCAATAGAACGTGTGGTTTGGCAATCAACTCAAAGTGTGAATGTCACAGCTTAAAACTTCTACCATTTCTTTTTCATACATCGTTTTATTTTAACCTAAAAGTAAATTCTGGAATCCCTTCACACTTTTGTACTTCATCAAGAAATTAGTTTTTTTCTATGTTCCCCAAAATGATATAGTGAATTAAAATTAACTCTAGGGCATTGCTTTCTTTTGCTGAAGGTAATTCTGAATGGTTTATTTCAATGTTTTTACTTTTTTGCCTCCAGAATTACTGTAAAGCTTTTCTATTTCATCCATTACAGCACAGTGTTTTTCACATTTGAATAGCTGCATCAACATGAATCCTTTATGAGGACCTTAAAAACAAACTTTGCCAAGTCCCAGAATACAGAAGCTAATTCACATCCCAGTACTCAGCTGCCTCATGAATAAAGGAGAGTCTGTGCCTGACACTTTGAAGCTGTAGCTGTTAAACCATACAGACTATTTACCTCAATAAATCATTATAAGAAACTAAGGTACAATTATACCCACAGAGAAATAGAATTCAAAACACTGATTTATGTGGTTCAGTGCCTGTTCCCTTTTCCATCGTGTTTTGAATTTTATGCATGTTTGTCATCTTTGGCTGCTTCCATGTATCTTTAAACTAATGGGTCTTGCTTTTTTAACGTTCCTCATTAAGTTTGTTATTTTACTTTGACATGCAGACATGTTTTGCACACTGTACAGAGTTTTGCATTTAAGATTAACTATCTAATGTCTTATGGTATAGACCAAAAAGGGAAAAAGTGAGTAATTTGTTTAAACTAACCTACAGCCTTCTCTGGTTAATTTGTGACTGTCTGAGCTGAAATTTCATATTAGTTAAGAATTTTTTGGCTCTTATTTGTGAAATCTGGAGAAAGACGGCTATATACGGGAAGGCATCATTGTACTTTTAAGAATGTGCTGGCTAATCTGGGGCTTTATCATAAAGAGACAGAAGCCATATGAAATGAAATGTGGAATTCCTCAATTTCTTTATCCCTTGAAGAGGCGAAAAGAAATTAAAATACAAAAATTTAAACAGAATGAAAGCTCTGGCTCAGAGGAAGGAATGGCACTGAAGCTGACAAATAATCCCATATGAAAGGGTAGCAGTAAGCTAAATACATCTAGCGAGTGGAATCCGAGACCAGACACGCAATCTGTTAGGCCACCCAAGTCTTAAAGAGATTGAATGAGTGTGCAATGTTGTCCTGTAGAGCGATGGAGTGGGGAGTGATTTAATAAGCAACAAGTATTCCCTAATACAACTTTTAAAAGTTACAAAATATATAAATGGAGATTTTAAATACGAACAACAGTGAATATACTACAGTTCCAAGTGCTTTATACCTTGCTTATAACCTTCAGAGCTGATGGAGCTAAGGCAATATTGAATTAGGGTGTATCATACTACTTGTCTGATCCCAACGGTTTGGATTAGTGTAGCACTTGCCTCCACTGTTGAGAGGGAGTTATAAATCCATTATTATTTCAGAAGTGACTTACAATATGGAAGTTTTTATACCATATGTGACGTTCATATATCTAGTTTAAAAGGTGTAGCTATTGAAGACAATTTTGATCATTTCAGATCGTTTTTGTTTTGCAGTGAATAACAGAAATTAGAGAAGTCTAAATGGTCATCTGTAAGTCTTTCTGTATTTTCCCTGTCATACAGTAAATTTCATAAAATTTTCAACTTCATATATGGAACAGCACACAATCTGTCATGCACTGTCATTTGCATAGATATCTAACTCTTGCATTTCAGTGTGTTTTTGCCTCTCTGATT